TTCATTAAAAATCCTTTAAAATGAGTACAAACACGACATATTTATCTTCAATATTAATGAAGTTATGGTCAACTTCCGGTTAGAAATGTTAACCTCAATTTTGACATATTTGTAATCGCCGTGAAAAATCCTTTAAAATGAGCCCAAACATGATACGATTAATTCCAATATTACTCGAGATATAAGCAACTTCCGGTTTGAAATGTCAATGTCATTTTGATATATTATTAATTTTTATAAAATGTATTAATATTTGTCACAAAAAAAAAATATAATAAAAAAAAATCAAAAATTAAGATTGGTATTAATATTTAAAAATTAAATTGCTATCTTCATTGTTGCTAACTTCCGGTCTAATGTTTTTATTCTAACTTTTTTGTTTTTTGAGATAAGTACATCATGTTTGGACTCATTTTAAAGGTTTTTTAATGAAGATGACAAATATGTCAAAATTGACGTTGACGTATCAAACCGGAAATGGTCATATCTCCATTAATATTAAAATTAAATATGTCGAGTTTGGACTCATTTTAAAGGATTTTTAATGTAGTTGACAAATATGTCGACATTAAAGTTGAAAGTTCGAACTTTTTTGTTTTTTGAGATAAATGCGTCATGTTTGGAGTCATAAAGGTTTTTTAATAAAGAATATATCATGAAAGAACACCATGAGGTTGTCCATTTATCTATTATATGACAATTAACTTCAGGTTTAAAATATCCATTTCAATTTTGACATATTTGTAATTTTCATTAAAAATGCTTTAAAATGAGTACAAACACGACATATTTATCTTCAATATTAATGAAGTTATGGTCAACTTCCGGTTAGAAATGTCAACCTCAATTTTGACATATTTGTAATCGTCTGAAAAATCCTTTAAAATGAGCCCAAACATGATACGATTAATTCCAATATTACTCGAGATATAAGCAACTTCCGGTTTGAAATGTCAATGTCATTTTGATATATTATTAATTTGATGAAATGTCTTCAAATTTGTTACAAAAACAAAAATATAATAAAAAAAATCAAAAATTAAGGTTGGTATTAATATTTAAAAATTAAATTGCTAGCTTCATTGTTGCCAACTTCGGATTTAACGCTTTTTATTGTAACTTTTTTGTTTTTTGAGATAAGTACATCATGTTTGGACTCATTTTAAAGGTTATTTTATAAAGATTACGAATATAATAATAAAATTAAAGTTAATAACAACACCTGAAAATTTTATGTTATGGTCAACTTCCGGTTAGAAATGTCAACCTCAATTTTGACATATTTGTAATCTTCATTAAAAATCCTTTAAAATGAGTACAAACACGACATATTTATCTTCAATATTAATGAAGTTATGGTCAACTTCCGGTTAGAAATGTCAACCTCAATTTTGACATATTTGTAATCGTTGTGAAAAATCCTTTAAAATGAGCCCAAACATGATACGATTAATTCTAATATAACTCGAGATATAAGCAACTTCCGGTTTGAAATGTCAATGTCATTTTGATATATTCTTAATTTTATGAAATGTCTTAAAATTTGTCACAAAAACAAAAACATAATAAAAAAAATTAAAAATTAAGGTTGGTATTAATATTTAAAAATTAAATTGTTATCTTCATTGTTGCCAACTTCAGATTTAAAATTTTTGATTCTAACTTTTTTGTTTTCTGAGATAAATGCGTCATGTTTGGACTCATTTTAAAGGTTTTTTTATGAAGATGACAAATATGTCAAAATTGACATTGACGTATCAAACCGGAAGTGGTCATATCTTCGTTAATATTAAAATTAAATATGTCGAGTTTGGACTCATTTTAAAGGATTTTTTATGTAGTTGACAAATATGTCATAATTAAAGTTGAAAGTTCGAATTTTTTTGTTTTTTGATATAAATGCGTCATGTTTGGACTCATCTTAAAGGTTTTTTAATAAAGAATACATCATGAAAGAACACCATGAAGTTGCCCATTTGTCTATTATATGACAACTAACTTCAGGTTTAAAATGTCAACCTCAATTTTAACATATTTGTAATTTTCATTAAAAATCCTTTAAAATGAGTACAAACACGACATATTTATCTTGAATATTACTGAAGTTATGGTCAACTTCCGGTTAGAAATGTCAACCTTAATTTTGACATATTTGTAATCGTCATGAAAAATCCTTTAAAATGAGCCCAAACATGATACGTTTAATTCCAATATAACTCGAGATATAAGCAACTTCCGGTTTGAAATGTCAATGTCATTTTGATATATTCTTAATTTTATAACATGCCTTAAAATTTGTCACAAAAACAAAAATATAATAAAAAAAATCAAAAATTAAGGTTGGTATTAATATTTAAAAATTAAATTGTTGCTAACTTCGGGTTTAATATTTTTTTTTTCTAACTTTTTTGTTTTTTGAGATAAGTGCGTCATGTTTGGACTCATTTTAAAGGTTTTTTAATGAAGATGACAAATATGTCAAAATTGACGTTGACGTTTCAAACCGGAAGTGATTGTATTTCCATTAATNATTAATTCAACAATTAGATATTTATTAAAATCGTTTTAGATCAACTGGATAAAATATCTCCAAAACTTATTCGCACCATCAAAAGTAAAAATCGTCGATTCAATGAAAATCATGTACTCCCCCTACCTAGTTTACGGCGTTTTAAATTTATTCCACCAAACGGAACAAAGAATATTAAAAAATTTCATTATGGTGCGCCTCTTCACTTACATGGCCCCCGATAGCAGCAAATTCATGCGGGAAGCTTTCGACACTTATTACCGCAAACAAAATTACGACGTTTTCCCCCGTTGGGAATACTGCTTAAGAAAAATAATCGGTTATCCCAATCGAATCGATTACAGCATGGCTTTAACTTACGAGTACCAAAGGTACCACTTTAACATAAATAAATTATCGGCTGCCGCTGATTTAGTCGACGATTTAATGGCGGCTTTTGAGGATATGCTTGAAGAAGCCGAATGGATCGACGCGAAAACGAGGGGGGAAGCTTTGTTGAAGTTGGAGTATATGTACACTTTGTTGGGGTATCCGGATTACGCGGAAAATGCGGAGTTGTTGGATGAGTATTACGATGATTTGAGGGTTTGTACTTGGGAGCATTTCGGAAATAGTCAACGATCCAGGTCGTTTGAGCAAAGCAAAAATTTTGAGTTGATTGAGAAAGAACGTAGCAGAGAAGTGTAAGTTTTAAAATAAGTTTGATTTAAAACAAGTTAAATTAATTGTTGTTTAGATGGAATCTTTCGCCGTTAGAGGTAAACGCTTTTTATAATAGACCCAATAATCGCATTTGTAAGCATTCAATTTGAATTTGTTAATTCATAATTTAGAATTTTGTAATTTTTTTAGTGTTCCCGGTAAGCATGTTGAATTCGGTTTTCTTCAGCGGAAATATAAGGTAATAACCATAAACTAACCTCAAAATTTTTGTTTTCCATTTTGGGATATTTTCCGTAATCTCGACACATATCCTGGTGTAATACCTAGGTTGAAGTAAAAGTGGCACTTGAACTTAATGCTTTATTATTTTTTTGCGAAGATACTTTAATTCATAATCGAGTTTTTTTACTACATTTGAGTCGTTTTGACATTGACAAGTTCAACGTCAAACTTCACTTCGTTACGCGATTTGTATATTAAGTTGCCTATCCTTCTTAACACCTCTAATATTTAAACATTAATAAAAATAAAAATTATCTCCGAAACAATTATTGATTATTAATTAATTAATTAATAAATTAATAATTAAGTTTGATTTATTAAATGATAATGATAATTTTATAGAATGTTCAATAAGAAACTATTTAGGGTGGTATGCTTTTTGAGTTTAAGTTGGTAACATTGACATCTGACAGCTAAAATGTAACCCAAAACCAAACGTCACGTCAATTTTATTCGAAACGTTGTGATTGTGTGTAAAAATTGGTAAAGATGAAGAAACAGTTTTGCAAAATGGATTCAAAATGTTTTTGTTAATAATAATAAATGCGCTTTAGTTTTTCTATATCAGATAATCGTGTAGTTTGAGTAGAAAGATTCTCTAACACTCACAAATGGAAGCAGATTGACGTTTGTTAACTATGGGCAATGTTACGAGATGATTTTGCAAAGTTTCAAAGATTTTAGCACGTAGGAAAAGGTGATTGGAATGAGTCAAAACGATTTTAATTTGCTAAAAACACCTTCAGAATACTAAATAATGATGAACAAATCAAATAAAATTGATTTTGATGTTTTTGAAAGTGTTTCAAAGATACCAAGAAGTAAAAAAAGCTGATTGGTGTTCTCCAAAATGGTTCAAATCGATTATAGATAATGTCAAACTACTTGGCAAAGTAGAAAAAAGTTAGTAAAAGTAACAAGGATGGTTTTGCAATGTATCAAAGATTTTAGAATATAAGACAAGGTGATTGGAGTTAGTCAAAACGATTTTAATGCGCTAAAAATGACTTCAGAATACTTCATAAAGATGAAAAAATTAAATAAAATTGATTTTGATGTTTTTGGAAGTGTTTCAAAGATACCAAGTAGAAGAAAAAGCTGATTGGTGTTCTCCAAAATGGTTCAAATCGATTATAGACAATGTCAAACTACTTGGCAAAGTAGAAAGAAGTTAGTAAAAGTAACGGGGATGATTTTGCAAAGTTTCAAAGATTTTAGTACATAAGACAAGGTGATTGGAGTTAGTCAAAACGATTTTAATGCGCTAAAAATGACTCCAGAATACTTCATAAAGATGAGAAAATTAAATAAAATTGATTTTGATGGTTTTAAAAGTGTTTCAAAGATACCAAGAAATAGAAAAAGATGATTGGTGTTTCCCAAAATGGTTCAAATCGATTATAAAAAATGTTAAACTACTTGGCAAAGTAGAAAAAAGTTAGTAAAAGTAACGGAGATGATTTTGCAAAGTTTCAAAGATTTTAGTGCATAAGACAAGGTGATTGGAGTTGGTCAAAACGATTTTAATGCGCTAAAAATGCCTCCAGAATACTTCATAAAGATGAGAAAATTAAATAAAATTGATTTTGATGGTTTTAAAAGTGTTTCAAAGATACCAATAAATAGAGAAAGATGATTGGTGTTTCCCAAAATGGTTCAAATCGATTATAGACAATGTCAAACTACTTGGCAAAGTAGAAAGAAGTTAGTAAAAGTAACGGGGATGATTTTGCAAAGTTTC